ACCGACACCTCACCAAAATAAATTTGTGACTTTCTTAGCCTAGAGCCACAACTTGCTAATGTCATGCATCGCCCCGTACTCAGATGCCCATGTAAGTAGCTAGGCTACTGGGGGTGCTCGCCTGCTAATCACCCCTTGCAAGATATCAAAGAAACAAGGAGCACCCAATGATCCTGCTGATGTTCATGTGTCTGCATGTACTTCTTTGCCACGAAATTTCCTAGCCAGTCTCAATTTGATTTTTACCTGCGCGATTTGGAAGTAGAAATTCTCATATGATTTGGGTTATCAAATATTGTTGTTCAGTGAGCGAAAACTCACTGCGTATGGTGTCTTTTGCAGCCTTGAAACAACGACGGGTAGGAGGGCCTCAGCTGCGTTTTGCACGCTGTTGCAAAATGGCTGTTTTCTGCGGGCGTTGCGACCGGGCAATTGGACGGCCAAACATTCACAGTCCATTTTGCGGCACCACTCCTGAGTAACAAGGATAGGGCGTTTCTTCAGCACGAACTTCGTCTCAGCTACTGACAATTCGGCTGATCGACAGAGCTCAAAACCTGAAATAAGATATGTTATATTGATCATCAACAGGCGCCATTAGCCGTCAATGAAATAAGTCGCTTCTTGTCTTTGAACATGCTTTCATGCTATTGGCTACAGATTTTTGCCAAAGGATGTACTTCAAAGTAGATCCCATTGGCAAATTACCAATAGGCTAAACGTGGATTGGCTTTCGTCAACAGCCTCAAAGCACCAAGGAGAAGAAAGCCCTGCCCTCACTGGCTTGCACTCGTTCATGTGTGATTTCTAGCGGCAAGAAAAATTTCCAATAAGGACGTATAAATTTACGGGCACGATGTTGGTTGTCTAAATTAGTATAGAATGAATTTCAAGTTCGAGGCAAAGCTATTTACTCTACTGGGATTCAGAATTCTTCACCAACTTGAAACTCGCCCAACAAGGAAATTCGCATTCTGCACTGAACCAAATATACAACTTGAATGCATGCCCCGTGGGCGCTTATTCCCTTGTGGACGGCGTATGAGGTTTCTGTATGGGATCGTGCTTCACTGCAAACTTACCAACAGTGGACTTGGACTCCTCCTCGTCCCTGTACCCTCACTGGTGTACATGTCTTCGGCGTTTCCAGCGTTATGAAAACACAAAACAGTGTACCTAATGAAAGTAATGCATGTTTGAATCCGTGCCTTATATATAAGGCTATATATAGCTAGTGTTTAGAGTGTGGCGCTTCAAAATAGCACTGCAGACGTATCGATTTATTTGCGTTATGGGATGGCACTGTGTTTAACTTCAACTGATGCGAAACAGGTGGTGATTCGGTGGGCGTCACTTGAGGAATAGTGCACTCTAATATATGCATGCCTCGATTTATATCATCATGTGTCAATCTGCCTTGAGATGGATTACGTGGGCGACAGGGTCGGTGGGGGAATACGTTGCACAATTGTGTGCGCTGAATCATAACATGCTTTTGACCGTGCTCCACCTGCACAACACCTAATTCCCGATTGCCGGTAGGTTTATGACCAATAGGCACAACACATGAATTAAATGTGGCCCAACGGCATACCAGTCAGTTTCTTTAGGTCAAGCCATCCCGACGAGACGACAAGCAGCCCCCAGACGGAGTGTTGTTGGTGCCACCAAGGAAGTTTAACCGGCGTACCCAAATTGTCAGTGATGTCAATTGCATTAGCCAGTCATGTTCATTTTGCGAGTGAGCACAGTTCACGTTCGCCTTCGCTTCACACTGCCGCCAGTGGCACATTGTGTTCTCACCTGGGGGTATCACGCGCTGTGCCTGTGAGCCTTAACCCGGGGAACCACAAGGAGAATTCTTCCTCTGAGGGACATGGAAACCTGGTTGCCACCTGTGAGCAGCAACAACATGCAGATGTGCAATGGGCATGTGTATTGCCTTCTATGCCAATGTGGCTTCCACTACAGAGACAGCGAGACGCTCCGCCACTGTCGATGCACTTTGTTGTGTCCATTGATACAGTCCCAACGAGCGCCAACTCCACTTACGTACAAGTAATGGTAGTGATTCGAATGTCTTCCATTCTCTGATCAGTCGCCGACCCGCATGGCTGGGTAGTGGAAGCAAAGGAGCTTAGTTTCTCAGAACGCTGCTGTTCTGGGTGACCAATATCTCCCACATGACATGGCCTAGCAGCACCATATGCTGATATTCTGTAAGCAAAGAGCCACCTGGGAGTTGCCACAGCGCCATGCATCCTTCTGGCTTCCCGGCGCGAAGTATGAACGGATTTCATCCTCAGTCCTGCGACCCAATTTCACTTCACCGCACCACCGCTTGGCTAGGCACGTGTGCAACATGCTTATGTGGATTGTTGCGCCACCTGATTCCTTTCCAATCTACGCAAGCCTGTTTGCCGCGTGGTAGTAGCTTTGTCCACATTCACATCAAACCAAGGCAACATTGTGCACTGTGAATCTAGTCAGCGGTCCTTTCATTTTACTCCGCAACACCCGCTCCACTGATTGGCACTTTGGCAGAGTAGTTTTAGGCAATAGAGCACCTTCCAATGGTCAGAAATGGAAGCGCCAACATATTGGACCAATATGCGCTTAGAAGCTGTCCAAGGCGATAGGCGTATTGATGGTGCCCGATGATTCTTTTCCTTGAAGGGATCTCCATGGCAGGAGCATGCGACTGTGGATTTCCTGCCCTTCCCGTTATTGATGTTGCGTGTTCTTGCTCATTGGCTCGGAGCCTTGCACACCATCTCTCACTGTGATACCCGCATGAGTGCACAAGATGGTGGCGACATACAGTAGCTGGAGAGCTTTCCTTGAGTGCTGGCTGTTTCTGACGGAACATTGGTCCTGCGATGGGCTGTGACACTTGTACGAGGAAATCCTACGCTGTATTTGCGTGTGCCGGTGACATGACATGCAGATATTGGGTCCACTGTAATAAACAATAACAGCAGGTGAGTGCCACCCGTGGGCGCCTTGAGCGTTGGTCACATTGCAGACACGTACCACAGCTGCGCTGCGTCGTCGGGAGGGGCTTCGATATCTTCCCCATTCTCTCGGGCCTCCTCTAGAAGCACCTGATCCCAAGCCGGCAATGCACTGTGGCTGACGTTGAGGAACAACTGGTGGGCCCCACCAAGCCCGACGTGTCCTTTCAGCCTCCACGTGTGTTGTTGTTAAGCAAGAGCCTATGAGATGCTCAACTTCGAGAGGGGGGGACTACCACGCGCACCACCAGGATGAGATTCTGCGCTCCCAATTGAGGTCCCGCGGCCCACCCGCCTCCCGAAGCAACCCCCAGCTATTGCAGAAGGACGACTGATGTATCACCTCAATCAGATTGACTTTCCGTACTTCCGATGATGACAGCATGGCAAGCGCGAGAAGGGGAAAGCGTCAAAAAAGCCTTGCACGTGCTGTCCCGCGGGCTAGTGACAGTCCGACGGCATGCCACTCAGCAGCTGTTGCGTGAACGAGGATATGACGGGACACCCGTTGCACCGTTGCGAGGCACACATTTGGGCCTCAATGGGCGCGCCGCTACTTTTGGGAACATTCGGACACCTGCGCCATGGTCACGTGCCCTTGGCCATCAAATAATGTCTGAAAAGCAGCAGAGGCACAATTGGAGGACAGAGCAGAGTGTTTGGGGACGATGAGAGGACTTTTTTTGTGTCGAACCGGGAGACGGTCGTGCAGCACAAAACAGCTGCAAATGCATGAGCCTGGCGTCGCTCATCGCTAATACTTAGAGCCCAACTCTGCATGCAGTAACAGATGAATTGCGCCCCATAGGAGCTCATGGGCCATGAAAACGGCGAGAGTTTAAAGAAAAGTTGAAACGTATATAAAAGAGGTTCGCCGGTAGCCAGCAGTTCAGAATAGTCGTGTTCGATAAACCTGTTCGCTGGTTGCATCAGCTCTGCGATTCACTCGCACGGTCCCAGACGCCCTACCTACGTGCCATGTGCGAGTCCCGTGGCATGCCACAATACGGGATGGCACGATGGATCTGACTGCCACTTGTTTTGTGTCGCCACAGCGTCCCTCTGCAGCCCCCCACGGGCCTGTCTCATCCAGCCGTTATTCGCCCAATTGGACCACACACCCTGCAACGCGCACACGGCACACTACAGCACCAATGCATGATATGTCCGCGTTCTCTACACACTGCCGTTATCTTGGCAACTTGCCCAGCCTAAGGTGCCTCAACATTCTCACTGTCTGGCTGAAAAATGCAATGTCAGCACGGCCCCGTGCCCCCGTGGTTGAGGTGCGCGAATTCCCACCATCTTCACATTCAAACGCCGCAAGCATGAATTGCTATTGCTTCCAAACGGGGCCCGTGTCATGACCCCATCGCACAAGTGCAGCACCAAATTTCTTGCATAGCTAACACTCCTGCCAGCAACCCAACAACGCATTTGACAACCAGTCTAATTCATTCTCTCCTGGGATCGAAATCCCCCTGCACATTCAATGGTTGACAATGTTGCCCCACATTGAGGGGCAAAATTGTTGTGGGTTGGTGCTCTCTTCCGATTAATGCGCAAAAAATTTCTTTGGACGAGTCCAGAATCACAAGCGCGAATAAAATCCCCTATACCCGTTGCCCACGCTGCCCCCCTCGTCTTGCAATGAATGTGTTATTGACTACCTCTTGCATCATTGGAAACTGAAACCGAGTATGGCCTTCCCTTTCAACGCTGAAGGGCCCAGCAGCTGCCAACAACACGTGACCAGACCAAATTCCGGCAGTTCTCCCATGTGCAGCCAAACTCCTATGTGCAGCGGGCAAGCCCTCTAAAGTCAGGGATGCGGGCACCACCCAGAAGAAGCTCCACTGCTGCAATAGCCAGCTCCACACCACGGACCAAGGGGATTGTGCAGTTCTGTCTAAACTAAAAGCTAGAAACAATCAACCATAAAAAAGCGCCTACCGCTAACGGCTATGCATCCATTCGCTCTTGCTGTCAGTTATGGAAGCTGTTCGACCTCAGCGCCGAACTCGGGGCATAGTGCCCAGCTGGGTGGTAAGCCATGTTGTGTGGGTGCTCAGCTACAGTCATGTTGCGCACCGAGGACCCCAAGTGGTCCACAACATGACTCCGGTCCTTATCATCATGCCCTCGGCCATGGGCGTGCGTGTACTTCGTGACTTCGCTTTGGTACTCCACAGCACGCTCCCTGGGCATGGAGGCCGCATGTCCCAACCTGGTGGAGCCCCGGGGTAGGGGCATGCCAGACTCCAGGTGTGCAAACTGTCGCTTGAAGTTGTCCACAGCACTGGGGTACATGTAGCTCATCGGCTTGCTGCCTGCTAGGTACTCGGACAGCACTTGAGGGTGATACTCCAAGACCTCACGGTAGATGAGCTCGCGGACCTCATCCACATTCAGCTTCCGCCGCTCAAAGTCAAACGCGAGTTTGCTGACAGGGTTGCCACAGGGCTCCCTTGCCGCCGAGGCAAGGCCATGGAAGTACGGATCTGCCAGCGCTTCTTCAGAAGTTGGCCGTTCAGATGGGTCAAATGCCAACATCCGCTTCAGCAGTCGCAGGGCGCCCTTGTCTGCCTTTGGGAAGTGTACCTCAAAGGGGATGCCAGGCTTCTTGCGCATGCTGGTCAAGAAACGCCTGGCCTTCTCGTTCTTCACCTGTCCAGTAGCGTGGAAACTCAAGAGGCACTGGGTACTAGTGAACCCAAGTGGGAAACAGCCCTGCCAAACAGTTTTGGCACCCATGGACAACTGGCTCGCCAGCAGCTCGACAGTGAGGCGCTGATCCATACCAAGGAACACCTGCTGCAACAGGCACTGGCCCAGCACATGGGCAGGGACAAGATAGCTGCAGTTCCAAGCATAGCTGTGAACATCGCTATAGTCTGAGATGCCAAACAGAAGGGAACGACCTTGGTGAACATTATGGACAGGAAAATGTTGCACCATAAGATTCAAGCTGGCCGAAGTTCTGACGGTCAACAGCAAGCCTAATGCTCATCGGCGCAATTTCCAACTGAGTTGCACAGCAGACTGTTAGTTGGCTGCTGGTGAGCAGAACTCCAACACATGCAGCCCTCTTCTGCTTGAGAAGGAGTCTTTATTTCCCTGTGCGCAAACCATGTGCAACGCAACAGAAGTTTACACAGGACCCAGCACCCTTGACAAGCCAGCCATACACTCAGGCAGGAGCAGCTACCTTTGAAATCACTTCTGCAGGCGGTGTTCCAAGGAGCTCTGTAATTAACTCCAGCTGATGCACCACATTGCGCCCAGGAAAGAGTGGCTTCCCAAGCAGCACTTCTGCAAAGATGCACCCCACACTCCAGATGTCGATTGCGGGAGAATACTTGGCAAAGAAGGAGCCACAGAGCTCTGGTGCACGATACCACCTCGTCGCCACGTAGTCAGTCCAGTAGATGGTTGTGGGCATGTCATTGAACGCGGGCCGTGCCAGCCCAAAGTCACATATCTTCAGCTTGCAGTCAGAGTTTGCCAAGATATTCTTGGGTTTCAAGTCCCTGTGGAACACCCGAGCTGCGCAGCCACCACCCCAAAAGTACTGTGTCAGACACTGAAGGGTCGACAGCAGGCTGCATAACACACATCAGGCCATTTCAGAATGAACTCTTCCCAAGGCGCGTCTTACCAGTGTGTATGAATTTCAGGCCTCTCAACATCTGGTACAGGAAAAACTGGTGGTGGTCAGGGGTAAGGTCGTCGTTGGCCTTGATCACCTGGCCACGCGGAGAACGACGAGGTCAGAGCACAGGTGTCGGCAAGGGAAGCTCAAACGGTGCATTGGAGATCATTCCCCACCTGATGCAGATCCGTCTCCATCAGCTCGAACACCACATACAGGTCCTTGAACTCTCGAGCGCTTGGGGGCAGCATGATGTGCTTGATTTCCACGATGTCTGCACGTTCCACGATGTCTGTGTTATAGACCGTGTGTGGCCACGGCGGCCACAAAGGAAACAGCACCAGCCGCAGCCCGCCCGCCACACTCACCGTTGTGCCGCAGCAGGCGGAGCAGCTTGATCTCGCGAAGTATCCTCGTGGCATCGGACACATGGTCAAAGACGTTCGTGATTTTCTTGATGGCCACTTTCTCCCCTGCGTCAAAAACCAAGTCGGCGGAGTGTGACGACCGTCGCGCAAAGGCGGCACAGGCGGCGACCGACGTCGGCGATCCCGGCACGCGGCGTCAGGGATGCTGCACACCTGTCAGCTTGTCCACCGCGGAACACACCACTCCGTAGCTGCCCTTGCCGATTATTTCCTTTATCTGGTACCGGCTGCTCTCGCCGCACTCCGTGAAGAAGTCCCGGGGCTCCACGCTCGAGCGCGACATGCTCTTCTGCTGCAAAGATCGCCAACGCAAGCCCACAGTCAGGAACCTGACCCGCGACGCGGCGTGCCCGACCCGCAGGTCAGCCGCCCCATCCGACTTTGACCGCACCATGCCGATCCGCACCTTCTGCTGGGTGCTCCGATGTTGGTGCGGCTGGGCCTGCTGAGACACCCGCTGCGGCTGCTGCGCCGACCCTTTCGGCAGGCCCTGAGGCTCCTGCGGTCCCGGAGGCGCCGTGTGGGGGCGCGCGTAGCCGGGCTGATGCGGGTGTCGCGGCTTCACCTCGTGGCCCCTGTCGTCCTCACGCTCCTCCCCGCGCGAGGCGCTCCGGGCGCGCCCGGTGGAGGAATACGAAGGGAGCGAAGGCTCCGAAGTGGTGGTCGTGGTCGTGTCACCACCGCCCTCGCTGTGCACCTGGCCTAGGCCATTCACTTTCCTATACCAGGCCTTGAGGCGTTCTATAGCTTTCATAAGAGCAGCGACAGCACATCACAGCCGCCCCCTCGGGCGCGTGATCTCCCGTCGGCCGCGCGCCTCTAGCTGTCCTACGTACGGGTCAAGTTGCCAACCCGCCCGGCACCTCGACGCTCTGGGGTCTTTCCAGAAGGCGTCAATTCAGAGCAGTGCCTCGCGTACTGCCCACGCCCACGCAAACCGACCCACTTCCGGCGCGCACCTCCCCGGCCCCACTTTCCACCCAACCTGAGCTGCCCGTCGGCTCGGAGCCCTGCGCTCCCGGCGGGTACTCCCTCAACCGGTCCCACAGCGAACCGAGGTGAGGAGGGCAGTTCTTCTTGGGGAGTCGGATTCTGTTGTGTGCTCAACCGGTTCCCATCAGCCAAGGCCACCAGGCCGGACACGGGCCTGAGTGACTTCATGTATGGCCTGAGGACGAGCAGGCGAGCATTACAATTCGATGGGCTCACGCAGATAGGCGGCTTCGACATGAGGGCCATGCTGCTGGTACGGCGGAGGGGACGGGGCGCCCTGCTCGCACAAGGCTCTCTCAACCAATCACGCTGAGCCCAGCACCGCTGGCCTTGTGCTGGTGGAGGGGGTTGTTGGCACGAGGGTATCAGAGGGGCCAAGAGAAACAATTCCGCGCAGCAGCCCGGGCGGTCGCCTGTTCGGTCTGGTGACCATTTGTCCCGAGTATGGTCGCCGCCGATACCTCTTTAAATTTGTTTGCTTACTCTCCTTATGCGCTTTTAGCAGAATGGCACACAAATCTACTGCTCTTGGGTACAGCTGTGCCCAAAAGTATAACCAAAGCAAAGGAATGTCTTCAGATCGTGGCGGAAACATGGCCGGACCCCCCAGAATAGCGCAGCGACAGTCTTCAAAAAGACTCGGCCGTCCCCTACCCCACAGCGGCTGAAGAGCGCGACAAGAGGCACTGAAATCGGGTTGCTTTGCAAGCATGTCGCTGGCAAATCGGCCACAAAAATACAGGCGGAACCTGCCCACTGGCCATGCATGTCCAGGCGCATGCAATCCAAAAGGACATGGACAGAAGTATTGACAGAAATCACAACGATCCCCACAGACTCACTCGCAAACCCCCGCTGCGCCAAGATTAGCATACCACGGGTGCACCACGCCGAAATTTGAACGTTTGGCACCGAAAACCGCTGGCTTTGAAGCCAAACTGGTTGGGCTACACGCCGCGACCCGTGTGCAAAGGACACACACTCGGAGAACGCCAGCAAGGCGCTTACAACTTCACAAACTCGTGTTGGTTGCGTTGCATCCCCGCCAGAAAACAGGCAGAGCGACCTTGTGGCGCCTCACGTGTCGCGTCAGCCACCCAAAAAAGCCCCTCGAAACATCGCACATGTCACCACATCAGATCCACTTTGATCCTTAAAATGTCCTATCCGCTCTGAGAGTTCACATCATATTCCCTCCCTGCACGTCCTATCCCCGAACGGGCGTCCCATATTTGTAAGCTATCACTAGCTACTCACATAATCCTCACGCAAGGATTGCATCAACACCGCACAACACGCGGCCCAGGCTGCAGAAAAATGCCACTTTAGCCCTCTACCCATTGGCCCATCAGATTCGATTAAAAAACTTCCACACCTCACACAGCCGCCATCATGGCAATTCAAGTGACATGATGTCACCCAACTAGCGCATCCATGGACATTCTATCCATGCCAACACATGGCAAAACTAATACCACTTCTGATATTCATCCACCAAACAGTTCATGTCGCCATTCTGGCTGTCAAGTGCCATTGGAGAAAAAACACGAAAGCCCCCAAACTTTAAAATAGGAAAAACTCGACATCAAACGTCTATGTAGCACATCTTTAACAATTTTCACATCTTTCTGACTTTGAAACCCCTGCCAATTCAAACGGCCTTCCTTATAGCTGTCATTGAGGAGTCAAACACGCAGCCTGCCAACATCTTGACTCATTTTCTGATGGACGAGTTTGGGCGTCATATCCCTGAGTCACAGTCGAAGTCTGAGTTCAATGCACTGACGTTGTGCATGCCCACAGCTGCGTGCATATTCTGCTGCCCATGTCTCAGACCTAAATGGCCATTGATGAATTCCATTGTCCCTTGTTGTTGATGACCTGATTCCCAATGCTGTACCTTTGTCTGTCGTGGCCTATCCATGGAATTCTGGACCACATTGTGGGCCTCACGGGGCGCCAGCTTAGTGGTCATTTGCAAAATTTGGAAATAGCACAAATACCATCGAAAGATGTGAGTAGCCAGGAAAGCAACGTTTGATAGGTGAATTGGAGTTGACAGGCCGAACATCTCTTTACCTTGTTACCTAACTGTTGCGCGCCACGGTGAGGGGGCACGCAAAGGGGTTGTTTGACAGGGAAACTGGTTGCCCAGTGCGGGCACTCGAAGGCCATTAGTCCCGGGACCCAACACCGGATCCCAAGTACGTATCCCAAGCACTATAGTACTGGCGGCCACCGCCCTGGTCTGGGTTATTATTATTATTGTTAGAATACGATATCCGAAGTCCCATCGGACCGGATATCGTATTATTGCCCCATGTACCGTCTAAACCGGTACATCACTCCCC